TGCGTCAAAGACAATGCACAGAGCCACAGTCGTGGATATTTATCTTGGCCTCCTTAATGATCGGCAAACGAAACGACGGACCGGGCGCCGACAGATTCATTCATAATTTTAAAATATCTACTAGAACAATCCAGATACAAATTCGAACTGCCAGACTGGGGTCAAGTTTGTTAAATTCTCAAGAAAAACAACGAAATGTTTTTATCGCCTTATCCAGTGTCTAAATGGAAACGATTTCATAATTAAAAAAATGAAAGCTCCGCAAAATGTTTGATGAATCAAGAAGTGGTGAGAAAATAACACAGATCTGAGTGAAGGATTAAATCTATCACTCTCCTTCAATTGCCACTGTTTGCAACATACAGTGCAAGGCTGACTGCCAGGACATGGCAAAATTTTTTCCAAGATATCACAACAATGCCATAAATGAATGATAGCTACAAGATCTCGCTTAATGTGCATCTTCAAAAATCTGGATGTTCGCACATATAAATACTTTATCATATTTAGAATAAGTTGTTTTGCACTTCATTCTTACGAGTTCAAATCCTGTTCCGTTTTCGTTTCTGCACGTTTCTTTTCAGTATGTCTGTTTCTGTGTCGATGAATATACGCGCTCTCTTCTTTTTTGCTTGAACTGCTGCTGAAAAACGAAATATGTCGTAATTGTGTTCATGCAGTAAATTTTAATCAAGTTAAAATTAACTTAAAACAGAATTCGGCTGATAATCTTTAAAGTCTGAAAACGTCTCACCTGGAAGAGACGCGTCTTCGTCTCTTAGGAGGAACCGACTCCCTTGAGGAGGTAGAAATTGATGTACTTTCAACGCCTGAACTTCTTCGTCGACGCCTGCCGCTGTCCACTTCCTCGTGATTCGAGTTCTTAGATAAACGTATCATAGTGTCAGGCTTATCTCGACAACTACGCAGAATATACACTGACAAAGACAAACAAATGGGGAGATTTAAGCACGATAGAGCTCCATATTATTTTAACATCTGCAGTACCACACGCATCTCGTATATTTTTTCGCTGGAGCAACATACCGCACACATTAGTCACATTTTAACAGCATCCAACAAATAAACCGACATCGAACCACAAGAAACAGTTCGCCACTTGATAATGGTGACACCGCTCCCGATTACAGCAGATCTAACTACGAGCGTTTTAACCGCAACAACTTTAATATAAGCTATTAGAGCTAGAATTACTGCAGCTGTTGGCACCAGACCTGCCCTCCAAGTATTCCCTGCGAGCAGTTTTAAATAAAGATCATTGATATGATGAGTCTCAAAGAGCACCCCTCGTTATTTTTTATCACTACCTCTTCATTCGGAAATTGGGTAACTTGAGTGCCTGCTGCCTTCTTTCGATGTAGCAGCCGTTCCTCAGGCTTCCTCTCCGGAGTCGAACCATGCTCCTCCGTTACCCGTTATCACCATGGTAGGCGTATAATACTATCAACCAAAGTTGATAAAGCAAGCATTTACAAGACATGTCGCCGGTACTTGACCATGTGATCTACAATATTATTCAGATTCATCAGCACTCACGAGAAGGATCAGTTTAGCTTTGTTCTAATAGCTGCGCTACGACCGAAGTCGAAGCAGTAGTGCAAGCATTAGCTCTGGAATTACCACAGGTATCAACAAGAAATTCGTCCGCTATTAAACACCGACTGCTGTAATGAGCAATTCGCGGTTTTGCCGCTATTCAGCTTCTACTGGCACATGTATGGCTTAATCTTTGAGATATGCATACGACTACTAGCAGGATCAACCAGGTACCATCCATTTGTATATTAACCCCAAATCACCGTTTTTCATCGAAAGACAATTTTCCAATTCAGACAAAAATTATTACACCTCCAGAGATTCATTTTCGCTTCCGAAAATCCCAACACAACACTGAAACATGCATGCCCCGTTATCAATCCTTTCCACTTTCATAGAGAGTTTCATCGAGAGCCCACACTGCTCGTCTAAACATCGTGCAATGCAATATACGCTGCGTCAACCACCACACAACTCCGCTGTTGCCGGTCCAAAGCTCGGTTGAGAAAGGAGGAGGGTAGGAAGCCATGGCGAAGTCTCCGTAAAAGTTCGCTACCTGCCACTCATGGTATTGGCGCCATCGAAAATTATACTGGCTCGGCCGTCGCCCGGATTACCAAGGGCCGCGCAGGCTGTTGCGGGATTGAGGCAGACTGCGAAAACTTAACGATCAGAATCTGCTCATCGCCCTCAGCAGCCGGGGGCGTAGCAGCACCACAACATCTGAAGATTGACGGAATGACGACAAAGATACCAGTCAGAAACGGAGTCGTTATCTGTTCTAAACGGAGGAAGCAGACAACGCAATGCCACTATAGCACGTCACGAAACGCTCCATGAGAACGACACCATCAGTGTGAGCTTACAGTCGGAAACTGGAATATATCCTCACTCAGAGGGAAAGAGCAAGAGTTACATGATGAGATTATAAAGTACCAACTCGATATTGCTGGACCCTGGTCAACGAAGCGCCAAGGCTCCGGAATCCTGAACCTGAATTATTCTCAGGTGTCGAGATCACGACGCGCGGTCAGACCGTTGTTGGTATTCTAGTAAAACCCGACCTCACAGATAGAATCATTGATTGGAAGTCAGTCAGCTGAAGGATAGCAATCCTCTGACTGAAGCTACAGCAGGTTAAAGCGTTGACCTCGCTGTAGGTCAATACGCCCCATTTAGAGGGGGAATATGATTCCTACCTTGAGGAAGTGCAGCGTGCTCTGTATGAAATGCTGAATATGGAGTCTCTAACACTGATGAGCGATTTTAAGGTGCATGTCGACGCATGTAGACGCTGAAAAGTCGAACGGCATGATCTGAAAAAATGGAACTAGCGACCTCGATAATAACAACATGAAGCTCTTCTATTTTTGTGCAAACAACGGATTCTCCATTATGAACACCTTTCTCGAGCACAGAAGAGTGCATCAGAATTCCTGGTACAGGGAAGTTTGTGCACAGAAGTCGATGATCGATTTGATAATCGTATCGTCTAAGTTAAGAAGCTCAGTAATGGATCCTCGCGCTAACAGAAGCGCAGAGCTATCAACCGATCATACCTTGTTATTGGCACGCTACACTGTA